AATTAGCTCGCGTATTTCGCAAGTCAGAAAGCGGGAGGGGAAATGAATGCCTCTTGATAGGTGGTGGAAGTTGTTCATCTAACAAGATTTCAAATTTCCTTTGTTGCACTTTTAAGTGTTCTCTTTAGTCATGAAATCATGGCAGTTGTTGACAGACTTTTTTTGTTTCCTGCTTAGAAACCTTAAGTCTTTGACCTGAGTTGACAGAGGCCTTAGGATACCAGATGGGAAGACGGCGGGCGAAGAGTGCGTGCAGTGGGATGATTTGCAAGAGAAGAAAACATCAGATACCCATTACACCTACAGGTGTATTGACAGTGCTGAGAGAACTACGTCACAGACATAATCCAAAGATGTGAGGATGGGAGGAGAGGTTGGTTAAACCGAGTGGGTGCAAAACTGAATAATTGTTAGATACTCGGAACTTTAGGAAGTTGGTTCGCCTTAAGATTCCTTTTTCTGGAAGATGTCTGTATAGACTGGTAAGTTTTCAAGAGCAAAGACTTAATTCTTCATTTCATCACTATCTTCTAGATACAAAAGGTTTATTCATTCAACAAATATTTATTAATCCCCACTATGTGTTCAGCACTGAAGTAGGGGAATGAAAAGACCCTGTCCGGAACCATAAATTGCTTATTGTCTAGCAATGGAGACATGTGCAAATCACCAGTTCTCTTACTAAATACAGTGAGAATCTAAGATAGTGGCACCCAAATGTTGCCTCCCTATGCGAGACATGGGGTGAGTGTGAAGAGCCCAGTTCTAAGTAGGTCTCTCAGTCTGTGGACAACCCACCTCCCAGGATTAAGTTAAAATTTCCCATAAGTTAATATTTTTCTGAGCAGTAAATATCAGTTACCTATAGTTGAGGGGCTCACCTTAATGTTTTCTTACATTCATATTTTGTTATACTGTTTCAACGCATTTGAAAAGAATAAGAGAAAAAGGGAATAAGTTGATTTTAAATTCAGGAACAAAGTACACATTCATCTCTTTGAAAAGTCCAATAAAGTTGCATTGTGATGTCAACTCTGGCCTTGTTCAGAGGAAGAACCTTGTTCTTTAGGGTTGAAATGTTTCCAGCTCATAACCTTCACATTTTACTTCCTTTCTCAGTCTTCAGATTATGACCTTTAAACAAAAATTATATAACCAGAGTTAATTTGAGGGGGGAAGAAGAAAAGAAAAAAAAAGAACATGATCAGTAATAACAGTCACATTAATAATGTAAAAACTGGAATATTTTGGTTAAAGAAGTATGCTTCTCAAAGGCAATGCAGACAAATGAAAATAACTGGGCTGGGATTAGAAAATCTAGATTCTTTTGCCTGATGATTATAAGACTTTGAACAAGGTATCAAAAGTTTCCTTTTATAATAATAAAAAAGTAATTGATTTGAGAGAGAGAGAGAAACATCAATTTGTTGTTCCACTTATTTATGCATCCATTGGTTGATTCTTGTATGTGCCCTAACCAGGGATCAAACCTGCAACCTTGGTGTATTGGGACAACACTCTAACCAACTGAGCTACCCAGCCAGGGCTAAAAGTTTCTTTTTTGGTAATGAAAACAATGCACAGGATTTCTTCCCCTCTACCTCATAGAGTATGAAAGCAAATATAAAAGTAAATATTCCTGTAAGTCTCTTGAAGTTTTAGAAGAAAATATTTTATAAATCCAAATATCATAAGTAATTTCAAAAGTCTCTATCCGATATGAAATTCTCTTTGGGAATTTTTTTTTAAATGAATACTAAGGCTTTTTCATCTGGAAGTTTTGTATTTTATTTTTTAAATACATTTTTATTGATTTCAGAGAGAGGAAAGGAGAGGGAGAGAGAGAGAATCGTCAATGATGAAAGTCATTCATCAGCTGCCTCCTGCACTCCCCATACGGCATTGAGCCCAAAACCCCGGACAAGTACCCTGACCCATGAATCGAACTGGTTCATGTGTCGAAGCTCAACAACTGAGCTACGCCAGCTAGGCTCTTTGGGGAATTTTTAAATCCAAGTAAAATAGTGAATGCCCATTATGTGTAGTAAGGCACTGAGCAGGTGCTGAGAAACATGAATAAGAGGTATAAGCTCCTTTCCTCAAAGAGTAAAAATGAATGGGAAAGGGGGATGTGTAGACTACAATACTACAAAGTAAAATGTCTTAAGTGTTGAAGCAGCCCGTTTTGGTTGCCTACTTGCTATCGTTCCCCTTACACATGTTCTTTGTAAGTAGACTTTGGTCTTGTTCAGTATCCATTTTTCTCTACATGCCCGGGGACAGGTAAACCCATCTCTAGCTGAATTATAAATCCCTAATGGTCTAAGCCAGTGATTTTCAACTTTTTTCATCTCATGGCACACATAAACTAATTACTAAAATTCTGCAGCACACCAAAAAATACATTTTGCTAATCTGACAAAAAATATAGATATAATTTTGATTCATTCATATGGGATGGCTAGGGATGGCTATTGTTGTGTTGGCTGTTGTCATTTTTTCATTTGACAACAATCTAAGGGAAAAGAGGTCAGTGCCACTGACTAAATAGTCAGGTATTTCGTGTTTTAAAAAATTCTTGCCGTTGCACACCAGTTGAAAATTGCTGGTCTAAGCCAATGTTTAAAGAATAAACATGTCCCTGGCCAGGTAGCTCAGCTGGTTAGAGTGTCATCCCCATAAGCCAAAGATGAAGGTCCAATCCCCAGTCAGGGCACATACAAGAATCAACAAGCAAATGTATAAATAAGCAGAACAAATTGATGTTTCTCTCTCTCTCCCCCTCTCTCTAAAATCAACTTTTTAAAAAAATAAACATGCAACTCTTAATTTAGCCTAAAGAGATATGAAAGGTTATCTGATGGAGCTCTTAGGAGGAAGTTTTTTTTGCTCTTGAAGAGACAACAAAAGTGGTGGTCCCTTTTTTCTGCTACTGAACATTTCCAAGTCTGTGACTCCATCAGCCATCATGGAGATGCAGGAGATTTCATTCTAGGCCAAGCAAAGCTGAAGACGTAGGGAAGCATGGGAATATATGTTCATCGTTGAACAAATTAGTGCCTATATATGGTTTTATATGTTTTCAACATATTCGGAAATTATTTTCTCTTTATAAAAACTGTTACAAAATTATTTGGATTTATAGAGTTCAAACAATTAATTCTTAAAATAAGAGGGGTTAGGTCATTTGTCAAATGTCACAAAACTAGCATGTAAGCAACACGGGATCAGGGCCTTTTTTTATGACTGGTCTCTCTCATGTGGGTTGCTTAAAGGTAAAGGAAAACATGCAAATGCTGGTCACATAAATAAAAGTTCAAAACTCCATTTTGGTGTGGATGGTGTGAAAACAGCAATTAACTTGATAGGAAAGGCATGACTCAGGATCACTCTGGAGAGCCAGCTGGCAGTCCTTACCCGGAAGCTTAAAAGTGCTCACAGCCAAGCAAGCACATTGCAAAGAGTAGAGGGAAGACTTGCCTTGTCATACATCAAACTTTATGTTGAAAACAATGTGATGGAATAGATCAATGGAACAAGACTATAAAACCCAGGAATAGACTTGTTTTAAAATTTAATGTACAATAAAGATGATAGCTCAAATTTTGGGAGCAAAAGCGTGGTGGTGGTAAGAATGGATAATCCAATAAATGAATCTGAGACAATAAAGTCATCATTGGTTAAAAGAAAAACAAAGACACATGTACCATACACTAAAATAAATTATGGATCAATACTCATGTTCAAAAGAAAAAAGTACTGGAAGAATGAGATTTGACTGGCTAATAAGCAAAAACCTGCACATCAAATAAGGAAACAAATGTGACAAGTTGATACCGATAATATGTAAAACCTTCTGATCCATGGTGGGAATGCAAAATGGTGGGGCCACTCGGAAAACAAGACGGAGATTTCTCAAAAAGATTATAAATATAACTCTCAGATCTACCCAGCAATCCTACTTTTGGGTATTTTACCCACAAAAATTGAAGTGAGAATCTCAAAGAGAGATTAGCACTTGGGGCTTCTCGCAGCACCATTCCCCACGACAAAGCTGAGGACTCGCCTAAACGTCCAATTCACCGCAGCCAAGACGTGGAAACGATCTAAATGTCGGTCTACTAGATGAGTGGATAAAGAAAAATGTGGTATGAATTTACAATGGAGTCTTTATTATTCAGCTGGAAAAAAGGGCATTGCGGGCAGGGCGGGAAGGGCCTGCTGGCCGCCAGGTGGGCCCGGCGCGCTGGGGACGCGCCCG